ATTAGATGTTCTGCGAAGTGTCACGCGACGTGACGCCGCCGATGTCACAGGAGGCCGAGAATAGATAGACGCTCTCTAGACACCTGCAGCGTTCTCTACACTTATCTTTTTTAACTACTAGGGTTACCATCATTTAGTACTTTTTTTTACATTAGTTACACTATTTTACTTTCTTTTTAAATTAGACTCAAAAAACTGATACAAACTGTAATCTATACTATACTATTAAAATAAAGCGTAAACACACACTTTTTTGTTGTTCCGGGCTTAGAAATTTGGAATCTTGCATCGGTAGATTTCTGTTAGTACGTAGATTACTACTAAGTTAATACTTTTGGTAATAGGTTGAAAAAAAGGGCGAACGTAATAGGTTATATTTGTTATTTCACGCGGGCGAAGTCGCGAGCAACAGCTAGTCAAGGAATAAAGATACACCAGCTCCTTGACAGGTCCCTGACTAAAACATGTGTTACGGGAACAACAGGGCAGCACAGATCCGCCAATAAAATAAAGTATGTTTGCATTACCAAGGAATTATCTTCATTTACTTTTTTTGTAAATAATGTAATCATGTAAATCATAACATCTTTTGTGTAAAATAATTCTAGTCAAAGTTATGATCTAGAATCAGTTATAAAAATGTGATTTCATTAACTTATTAAAAGGTAACATTTATTTTATGTTGATAGACGAATTAAAAGTCAACAACAACTATTATTACATAAGATTACAATGTTACAAACAGATGACAAGATTGCATGAAGTGGAAATCTCATATTTCTCGGTAATGTGAACGCAATCAGAGGAGCAACATTATGTAAGAAAAATTATAATTTGCTTTAGTGTCTTGATCACCTTTTATTATCAGTATATTTTAAATTCTGTAGGGTTTTATTATTGTACTCAACTAATGTCGTTTTAGAATTATTTTTTTTTTGAAAGACTAATCAAAATTAAAATAGTTTGGAAAATAGTGTAACTACATCGTCTTTTTAATAGAAAACTGAAATGCTTGTCTTGTAAAAAAATATATTTTGAATATTGCCATTTTCCTATTTATCCGTCGACATGGTTACCCTAATCTCGTTTGTATCTCGCAACATATCGGCCACATATTATGCGTATATTGTTAGAAGGCACAGTTCGACCGTCATAAGATTGCGTAACACCCACGTCATTCAGATGTTTGTCTTATACTCGTAGAGCACAATGTTTCTTTGGTTACAAATCTCTGAATGCTGGTCAATATAGAGCAAATGAAATGCCATTGAAGTATTTAATTAAAGCTGTATTTAAGCTTTAAAAATGTGTAAAACACTGATAAAAATCTCTACCGTAAAAATCATCATCAACTTGCCCTCATCCCTTATGGAGAGTCGGTACAGTATGTACTGCTCTTCCATACATCTCTATCAGCCGTCATATCTGAATCCACTCATTTCTTAAGCATATCCTCTTTCACACAATCCATCCATACTTTCTTCGGTCTTCTCTTCCTTTATAGCCATCCACATTCATTTTTAACACTTTCTGGTTTATGTCCCCATCGTCTCTACCGTAATTATATCATAAGTAAATTAATGTGGTTTGAATCTTTCTTATTACAGATATTAAGGAAAATTATTAATAAAACTGTGGAAAACCGTTGCCGGTTTTACTGTGAACTTTCCACTTACGATAACTACTATGTATTTTTATTATAGGTTATCGTATGTGACCTTATCAGTGGAAGAAATAAAAAGATAATGTAATTATTATCTCCTCATATTAAAACGTGGTGTTTAGTCAGATAAATTGATTACAAAACATCCAAGTCTATGGCAACTATCTTTTTTCACAGAACTTTGTCTTTCCTTATGGTAAAAAAACTATTTTACTACGCAGTAGTCTTTGACTCTAAAGATAAACAAAAAAAGTCGGATCCGGTGCAGCTGCACTACCTTGCGGATAAAAAAAAAAATTTTCAAAATCTGTCTACAAGGGGCGGAGTTATGCCGTAACATACACATACGAGTACGAACTGTGAAGCTTCTTTTGGGATGTCGGTCAAAAATATTAAAATTAGAATGGGACTTACAAATTACTTACATAGTGTGTGTAACCATTTAATATTTTCATACTTTGTATTCACATATTACCTTCAAGGGAATTTCTCACAAGGTATAATCGCGATATTATCAATTCGCTGTGTCCTAGTTTCGCTCGACAATAAATAGTTACCCGTTCCACGCTAATTACTAACGAAAGTAAAAAAAACGATTTGCAGCAGAACAAACGTGTCTGATAAAGCATTACCGGTTCCATATCGTCGTGTGTATCCGTTAGCAATGCTGTTTTTATGTTCATTTAATGGCTTTTAATTTTATTGTTCAAAGTAACATAGAAGACCTCTTCATTTTTAATCATATACACGGAGAATTGACAAGATCAACAAAATATAAACTATACTATGTTTACTAGATATGTGTAAATGTATACCAGACTTTATCCGCGAAAAATGTAACCAAACAAATAAAAAATAAACTCTATTTTACTTACAGATAATTTACCTTTCTATCATTGAAAGATTTTTTTAAATCTGCCCAGTAGTTTTTGAGTTATTCCATATTACTTTATAATATTAGTATACATTATAGTTAACCAGTAGCGATAGGTATAACAAATAACCAGTTGGTACCTCAATTAGCTATCAATTTTTTATAGTATAAGGTAACAAAAGAGCAAGCGGCACCAAAATAAGTACCACTGCCCATTGAGAATCGCATTTACAAACGCGTTGCCTTTAATCAACAAAGAAGGGGACGGATAGATAGAGAATATTTCCCCTACTGCGTATTAATTTTTTTTGGGCATAGTAAAGTATTTTTAACACTACAAAGTTTAACAACATACCTGATGTAATTGGGATGTATTTTAACTGTGTTTGGACTCAATGAGGCAGTGACTGGTCTTGGCCATATGCCGCCGAAGCGACCGCACACAGTTCTGCAGAGGTCCAAGCTCTGGTAGACGTTCGTCGCATTCACGGTGTGACCTTGAGACGGTTGGTCTGACCTCTCGCATCCGTATTCCGGATCGCATTTGTATACCCATGATGGTCTGCAACAAAGTTTTTAATGTAATTCCCATCTTATCTCCCTTACCTTATCCTACGCCCGTAGTATTGGTGCACTGGGTTCTCGTCCTCCAAATAATTCTATCATCTATAGGTTATGTCTTATAAATCTCACTAGATGTAGTTCAGTGTTAGTTATTAATAATATCAAGGTATAGGGCCACGAAGCCTTTTTGAATTTACTCTATTTTGGAAAAGTCACTGGTATGAACTGATTACAACTACATAATGTAGTAATAATTCTACAAATCTAAATTAAAGTCTATAAGATATATCAAGTATCTCTAATATCGAAACGAAGAATTTGAGATCCATTAAATGTTTTATATTTCACATAAACACTAAATATAATTGAAAGCAATTCCGATGTACACATTTCTTAACTCAAATAACCATACTTACGCTGTAATTTTATTAATAGTATTAACAACTTTTTATTATCCCTTACGTTGACAAGACATAAAATTCAGAAAATTACTTTTATTAATCTCTAGCTTAAGTGTTTCGTAATTAACATACGTGAGTCGTATTTTTATAGAGCTTTTTAAACTACATTAGAATTCGCAGTAATAAATAGAATTCAATAATACAAAAAGGTTGTAATCATACTTCATACTTAATATTATAAATGCGCAAGTTTAGATGGATGGATGTTTGTTAAAGTTTGTAGCCTAAGCGAATGAATGGATTTCGATGAAATTTGTTATAGATGTAGTGGGGAGTCTGGAAGAACAAATAGGCTACTCACTTTGTTCTCTTTATTTAAATTTAAACATTTACTTCAAACAAAAACATTTGATAAGTAAGATAAGTAATACATAAGTTTAACATTGGATGTTTATGATAGGTATTATAATAAAAATTAATTTTAAAATTGATCTAAACTTACTCATATGTGTCTACATTAAATGCTAAGCTGTGTACATCATCACTTTGCGCAGTTTGCACAAGTACTGTAGCTAACAGTACCCAGTGCCAGCCCATCATCTGAAACAATTAATAAGGAATTAAAAAACCAATCAACAGTAAGAGTTAAAACGGAATGATACTACAATTCGAATCGAATTGAATCGATTAATGTCATTTCGATTTTTAAAACGATTCAAGAAACTTGATTACTAGATGGTTGTATAAACATTTAAGAATAATATTTGTCTACCAGATATTAATGGTGATAATCCTAGTATAGACGGCAAGAGTCATTACAATAATTACCCGCATACTCAGAATAATTTCGGTATTGCCAGTCACTTACAACCACACTCTCGGTAAAGCTTCATTGTTGAAGTGTTACGGAGAATATCATCATCATCACGATATTAGAATAACAATAATAATTTGTATTAAAACGTTTTACAATTATAAAAATAATTTTATATAACCGTGTACATTCAATGTAATATCATTCTTGAATGAGAATCGTTGGTTATCAAGTATTCGCTCATATTTACTGCAAGTGGTAGTTTCCGGTTATTACATATAATGCATATAACGAACGGCATATAATTTGATGTTCATACGGCATTGATTTACGCGGCCGCACTGTGGTTACTTGGATATACAATACAATATATAGTATTACAATACAGCTGTAAAGATATTTCTATGTAAAAATCATTGCTAGATATATTAGTGTTAGTTGCAATTTTTCTATAGTGTTACCGTCTCTTGAGTTATAAAAATTCAGACATATACAACATATCAACCGTTATTTATTTTGGAAGTCATTTAAAAACTTTGATATATGCTTTTAATCACTTATCAATTTTTTTTAATATTTTTCCGTATGCCGTGTGAAGGAACATCGAATGATCGGGTTGTCTTAAGTTTTTTTCCTAAGTTGTGCAAATTTTATAGCATTAATTTTTTACAGTGCAAAAACTACGTTGCGAAATTATTGCGCGTAACCGAATCGTACATCATAAATACATTTTATATGTCAGAGTTAAAAACCAATGGTTTTAATGGATCGGTGGGTACGTGGAAATAACCGCAACTTCACAGAAACAGCGGAAAATAGACTTTTAATGAACCCACAACCGAAGTTTTCGTCTGGTTCGATAGTTCTAATACACAGATTAAAAAAATAATCCAGTTTTAAAACGAAATCTTAGAAAAATTTATTACAAACTTTATTCATATCTTTTCTTTTCCTTACTTTAACAGTTTTAATGGTTTTATAAAAAACTTCATGCAATTATAACAACACGATTTAACGATCTTTGTAATAAATTGTTACAAAAGGTATACAATTATGCATACACATTGCACAAATATGGACGTACGCGCGAGTAACGGGCCGGCACGCGCCTCTATCACGAATCACGATTGTGTGCTATCGGAACCAACACTTGGACAACTTCCGTGCATATCTGGCATTATAATAAAATAAAATATTCATACTTTTTTATATTATAAATGCGAATGTTTAGATGGATGGATGAATGTTTGTTAGAGTTTGTAGCCGAAACGACTGAACGGATCTTCATGTAATTCGGCACAGATGTTGAGCATAGTCTGGAAGAACACATACGCTACTTTATATCCCCGAATTAGGTATAGTTCCCGTGGGATACATTATTTTTGTTTTTTAATGATAACTCGAATTCTGCAACGCTTCAACGTGTATTGAAATTTGGCACAGATATAAAACAAAGTCTGGAGTACACATGGGATAAAGTTCATCCCCGAAAATTGTCTGATTCCCGAGGGATACGCAGTTTTTTGTTATTTACATAGTTCGTATGTTTTCTAAGACCACACGAACGAAGTCGCGAGCTAGTATTTTATAAATATATCTGTATGAAGAATTAGTGACAGAACAAATAATGTGTTCTCTACACAAACAAGAGATTTCTATATTCCAAATCGATTTATTATTCACCATTTCGGTCATGTCATTCGATCATGAGTTCAAACTGAAAGCATATAGCCATCTTTGTGTAATACATTTATAGTCAAAATCAGATACATTTTTAAGGAATAAAATGAGAAATAATCATAAAACAAGGTCAAATTATTTCAAAAAACATCATTATGTTTAGATAACCTACATCTAAAACAAAGCGGGCGTGCAAAAAAACTTTCATTGACAAGAAATTGCGTTCCATTATGCGTATACTTTCTACTGAATACATTAAATACTTGTTGATAGTCGTGACCAACCTGTCTGGGCGAGCTATTGTACACTAAATGCTTTTTAATATCTATGGCAACAGGATCGCCAGAGATAATTTTAAATTTTCTCTCTAACGAGGTAAGATTTAGAAAGCGTTCAAAAGGAAATTGTCATCTTAACTTCCTTTATAAATAAATCTTTAAACTTCGTTTTTTATTATTAAGTTCCTAGTTTTTGTTGTAGTTAAAAAGATTATATCGAATTAAAGTGGGGATTTGTCGACTTTACTCTAAAATTATTAGGATTGAACGTATTGCGGAGCGGCAGATAAAATCACGAAATACGTATTTTTAACATAAGTTACTAAACAGCCCACGAACATGCTACATTTAAAGAAGATTACTTACGCGTGTTTTTTTTAATAACTTGTAAATACCAGTGGATTTTCCTCGCGACAGTTTTTTAGAGTAAAAGAACAACAATGCATACGTTTCTTAATTTACTTAATTTATAAATATGTACTTAATTATATTTAAATAAAGTTATTGGTCGTTCTTGACATACGTCCATCCATCCATTCTTAACTTTCGCATTTACATTAGTAAGGAGTAAGATAACTGTCATGCGAGTTATTGTTTAGTTATTGAAATGTCGAAAATATGATAGCATTTGAATAGATATAATATTCACATGTTATCGAAAAACAATATCTCTAAAATGCGATATCAAAGTAATAAATGGATAGATAAAAATACTCACGTTGTAGTTTTGTATTTTAAAACGATTTACATGTATCTTTAATCGCTACATAAAAAACTATAACTTACTTTTGCAAAAGTAAAAAGCAATGTATAGTTTTCAGAACACTTTTTCTACAATATTTTAAACGATGACACTTTTACTAATTTTTTTTACTGGAATTAACTTATTTATTCACCAACAACAAAAGTTACAATTCAAGCTCGCAACAGTATCATCCCGAGAAAACGGTTTTGTTTTTATTTTGCCCCATCGAAGTCAACAGGCTAGGGAACGAAACCGGACTTAGGTTTTGCACTTTTATTTAAACTATATTTTATTTTATTTGTTGTGCAACGCGAGTGTTGTTCACGACGCGAAGGTCGAGAATGATTTGAATGAGATGTCGATACCGGATAGTATCAAGTTATTTTGTTATTGTTTAGCAAATGCCATCGGTTAGGAAACATTTTTAATGTTTCAATAAATGCGCGCGCGCGAGTCTGTAGCGCGAACCACTCTGATTGGCCGACGCGAGGCACGCTCCTCGCTGCACGAGAATTGGCGGGAGATCCGCGTTTTTACCGCACAACTCGTTTTTAATTCGAAATGTTCGCAAAATTGAAGAACATTGCTGGCTGTTTACTACACCAATGAGATTACCAACTCACAAAATAAGCAATGTAAAGTATATTCTACGTATGATTCAATATCGAAGAATTTATTACTAATAAATAATTCATCCTTTCTCCTAAAAACCTTGGAGGCAAGGATCATATTAGTTTTTAAAATTCACTCAATTATTCTGACCGGCCAGTTCAAGATTTAAGTCAACTAGAGCGAGAACAATTGATCGTAAGGTCAATTCAAGACAAGTCTTGAGCTAATTGGCGCTGCACAATTGACTTAAAATCATTGTTTTTTAAAATAATCAATAATGTAAAACTAAATTTACTATCCAAAATAAGATAATTAGAATTGATTTAAAAACAACAGTAACAAAAAATTACCTATGCGTTTATACGATTTATAGCTCAATTATTAATAGATGAATACACGAATAGCCCTTCGTTTTCCGTTCCCGTGACGTCAATAGCACCGTAGCCAAAATGTTCAAGACAGATTACACAAATGGGACACCTCCTTCACCCACACTATCGGTACGCGACATACAATGTTTTAAAAATACAATGACATATCATTTCGTATTTATAACGCATGAAAACTACGCAGAACTTCAATTAATTATTACTGTCAAAGATAAAAACATATCAAATAACATAAATATTCCATTACATATATCAACGTTACTTTCTTTCTTCGTATTGGATTTAATGCAGAAAATAACAACATACATGTACGTTTTGCAAGTAAATTAATTATCTTGACAACCTTGAATACATATATACTAAAAAATGAAACACGAGTCAATTACTCTAATTAGTAATATAAAATATAATAACAATCCAGGAAGCCTTGTCGTAGTTTTATGGGGATAAACGTCTAACGGGACATCTGATGAACCCAGAAATCTAAGGAATTGTCATCGAGTTTTCGTACATTTGTTATGTTATGATGAAAAGCGAGCAATCAGGAAATAGTACCATTTGATATAAGATTCAGTGATCATTGTATTTACTGCCGTTCAATAAAAAAAATA